TGAAATTTCCCGCCAGTACTTATAAACGTAAGAACCACTGACGGGCCGTGAGGTAGGGGTAAACTTTTGAATGGGAAGGATTTGTGCAACGCCACTTGGCAGAAAGGTGGTCCAGAATGTTTGCCGGAGCATGGGCTACTTTAAATTTGGCGGCACAGCCTTTATTGTTATTTTGCAGACGATTTTCGTGTCGACTGTGAGCTGTGCCGCCATTGGGGGCTAAGCAGAAGGACGGGGGCAAAGCAGAATTGCGCCGGGGGCGTAGAGGAACGACGGGGGCGAAGCAGACTTTTTGCGGGGGCGAAGCAGAACGGGGCGGGGGCGAAGCAGAACGGCGGGGGCGAAGAGGAAGGAGTTTCATGGGGGTGGAATTACAAAGAAGAATTGCACGGCTAAAAATAAATTTGTACATTTCACCATTAGACCGTAAGAGGGCGCTTTCAAAAGACCTTGGTTGAGCGCATGCAAACGCTTCTATTCCCCTGAGTTGTTGAATATAATCGTATTATTGTGCGGTCGGATGCTAACTAACATGGTCCTTTTTGCAACACTATTTATGTAATACAAACGGTTAATTCCAAGCACATGTCATAAATTAGGAAGACCTAGAAAATAGTGTATTCATTCATTTCGTTGTTTCCAGTTTAACCTTTGACCTCATTCACCTCGTTTTTGAAACGTTTTTTCTGCTCTCCAAGGCTGCAAGACTGAAGTGACAAAATAGGAGATTTTGCTGTGTTCTGAAGATACACGTCGCGGTTGAAGAGTCCTCGAGTACCCTGAGGTATCTGTGTGGTGAGTCGGAAGTGATAAACATTGACAGGAGTATGAGATTAGGGTAATTTGATGTAGGTTAAAGTTAAACATGAAACGCGACGTGCAACAACGCATGCAAGATAAACACATGCAGTCTTGTTTGCAGGCTTCGCGCTTTTAATGTAGGACTGTGGAACGGAAAAAAAACGACATGCGTACCCTCTGGATTAACTAATTTAGCTGCAACATCATTCCCGATGTGCCTAAAGGGATGAAATTAAGGTTTGGACCTGAAAGTGGGGCAGGCAGGTCGACATATTTTATGTGAATGGGGCATACATAGCTGTAACTTCACATGTTGTATGAATTTGGTAAGGTAGCTAACGTTACGTACAGCAATTTCTGCTCAAACTTATAGATCACTTCTACTGTACTGTACTGTGCTCAGATTTCGTCTGAACTTATGATATATTGTTCATGACATTGTCTTTAAATTGATTGTTTCAAATGAGTGTATTCTGTGTTTCCTACATAGAATCTACACTATAATCTGAAAATGTTGGGCTCAGGTTTCATAAAAACTTCAAGGACTTAGGTAATGACCAGAGAGAAACATCATACTCAAGCAGCAAGTACTAGTGTAGAATGTTGAATGTTTAGGAAACAAGAAGCTCTTCTATGTTCTATATACAGACATCCATCTACAGGGCTTGAAATCCTTTTTTTCTGCATACCTGCAATGGTGCATGTAACATTGAAAATTACCTGCACATTTCAACTGTGCCACTTAGAAATTAGGAAGCATTGATCACATGAAAAACCATTGCCATTATTTCTTTTATGCTACATGATAAATCATATCTAACAAGTTACCTACATTTGTACATGGACCGGTACAGGTAAACAGCAGAAGACCTGCACAGCTCACTAAACTGCATATGCAGTTCAGTTGGCATTTTGTGCCTTGATACATTAATGTTATTGTATAGCAATTTATTATCTAGAAGTCTCACCATTATTTGCCAAAAAAAGATGTTTAATGATGTACTTACTAATTTCTGCTTTGCTTCCTTCCAGGTTGCAAGTATGAGTAAACGTAAAGTGCAGTTTGCGGACCGTAGTGATGATGATGATCTGGATGACCAGTTGGAGGCCCTGGGGGGGGAGGGTGGTGGCGGGGACAAACCCAGCCGACCGTCCCGCTTCAAGGAGAAACACTCGCTGGACAGCGACGAGGAGGACAAGGAAGACGACGATGACAAGGGACGTCTGAGCGACGAGGACATCGAAGGGCAGGAGGACGACACCATCATGTTTGACGGCGACATCCGCGTCACCCCGTTCAACCTCAAGGAGGAGATGGAAGAAGGACACTTCGACAAACACGGGCACTTCGTCGCCGACAAGGAGGAAGAGATCCGCGACAACTGGCTGGACAACATCGACTGGGTCAAAATCAAGAAGACAGAAGAGCTACAGAAAGAGAGAGAGGCCAGAGGAGGACAGGACATGCAGGATGAGGCAGAAGAGAGGAGTGAGTTGGAGGTGCTGAGGGAATCACTGCAGTACATGAAACCTGGTGAGACGGTCGCCAAGGCCTTGCGCAGGCTGGGAGGGGGGAAGAAAGTGTCGTCCAACCGGAAGTGGCAGACTAAAAAGGCAAAGGTGGATGATGTGAAGGAAGGAGAAAAGAAGGAGGAAGAAAAGAAAGAACCCACCGAGGAGGACAAGGCCAAAACTGACATGTTGAGGTTGACGGAGTGCGCTGACTACTTTGTCCAGCGTGGCAACTACGAGTTTTACCAGTTCACTTACGAGAGAATTAACTACCAGCTGAAGGGACCAACAGTGCCAGGCATGGCTTCAGGCTCGTCCAAAAGCGAGGAGGACATTCTAGACATGTTCGGGGACAGTCTTGACAAGGAGAAGGGAGGCAGCGCTCAGGCTAAGAATGGAGACACAACAAACAACTCGGAGAGTAAGGAGAAAGGAGAAGATCCAGTGTCAGATGAAGTGTCGTGGGAGTTCAAGTGGGAGAACCAGCCGGATGCGGAGGTGTACGGGCCACACCCCAGCTCACAGATGCTCCAGTGGACAGAGGAGGGCTACTTCCCTGACGGTGTGTTTGTCAGGAAGAGTGGACAAACAGAGTTCTACAACTCCAAGAGAATAGACTTTGAACTCTACACATAGAGAATAGAACCATGAACTGTATAAATAGAATAGGACTATGAACTGTATACATAGAGGTTACAAGTTGAATGATTACTAAAATTCAGGGCTCAAAAAACTGTGTTTACAATTACAAATGTAGGTGGATGAGGACTTTTTTTGCTGCATTGACTGTTACCACCTCAATCACTCACTCACTCAATATTCGCTTTAGCGTCTGTTGTTCCTCGTCTTCTGAGGGTTAGACATGCTTGCACCGATGACTTTTACCACCTATTAAGTTGGTATTACCATACTATAATGGTTTCTGAACAGTTTATGGCATGATCCATACTTCCTAAATTCTGAGTGGTGCAGGTAAAAATTTATCTGTTGCAGATAATTTACAATATTTCCTGCACTGGTGTATGTACATGTATGCAGAAAAAGGTATTTGAGCCCTAAAATTGTATACATATGTGTGTGATGGCCAAACTTTAATCGGTTCCTAACACGTAGGACAGTCCTCTTTAATAGTCATGAAATTTCAGTATTATTGTTGTGTTTTTTCTCTCTTCAATGATGTAGATTCCATAGAATTGATGAAATAGTTGTTTGCACACAAATCTCCTTATTTACATATGTGATAATATGAATGGTTGATGATGATTTAGATCACAAATACATGTACATGTAGTTGATGTTGATGTTGGAAGTCTTTCTGTTCTTATATTGGTTTGTGGTGGTGAAGTTTCCATATAGGTAGTATGGCTCAATATTCGAGTATGAATGAAACCCCATCAAACATGTTACATGATGTTATGTAGGATGTTGAAATGACTTATTCAGAATTATGAAATTGAGCATTAGGTTATGATGGAAGAGCTGATTTATTTGATAATGTGTCTCATGTAAGAAATGTATGATAATAATATGTGTGTTGTAGGTACGTCCATATCATCTTGATTTGTGGACAAGATATGACATACCTGTAGAGAACTTACAAACGTAATAAAAATGATAATGAGCAAGCCCTTTCTCACTAAGGCTAGGATGAAGTCATCCATTTCTTGTGACTTTTAAGTTTAGTTTATTTTTCAATGGTCTGTGATCATTTTTTGAGTTGCTGGTGAAAGAATAGAACTACATGTAGATATTTTGTAGAAATCCAGCAATCTCAGTTTCATTTGTTTCCCCTGTTTTAGCACTCCCATATTTGTAGAACCATGTAGATGGAGTTTGTTTCCAGGTGTATGGAATGCAGGTTAAGTCAGAGATATTTAATATTTAATTCTTAACCCACCTTAATTTATTTCCTTGCTTCTCTGACAATTTACGTTCAAACAAAAGCAAGCAAGCAGATATCAGAAAGAGGGTTAGGACTATATAATAGGAGGAAAACTTGAATATAGCTGTATTTACTCTAAAAAAATATCAGGTTATTTTTTTGGGGCTTTGTTTTCAGCTTTGTTTTCATGGTGATTTTCCTAGTACTAAGGCCACACCAATTTGATTTGTTGTTTATTCTCAGATTCGCCCGGTCCATTTTTTCTGATTTGCAAAAAAAAATATTTTTTTTTAGGTTAAAAAAAAATTTTTAGGTTCTAAATCAACTGCAAAATTCACAATAAAAGACATACTTTGGCTCGAATGGTTGAAGAAAGTCCTCTTCTTCCTAGCTGTTAAAGTCAATGTAACTATCAAACTTTGTTTCATTTAAAGTTCAAAATATATTGTTTTAATTGTTATTGTCTATTGGCCGCTATGCTTCGAAATGGTTTAGAATAAGCCATCGACTTCTTCGTGTATTGAACTGGTGGTTATCTCTAGCTGGACAATTGCAATTGCAAGAGTTGGCTGGAGTAGTAGAAAGTGGCACAAATGTAAGGAAGTCACTGTTGGGAGTTATCGTTGCAAGACATTGCAAAACCGTATGTGCTATATATGCTATTGTGAGACACCAATGCATACTATCTTGACATCTGCGGTGGTGTTATTTTTCTCTATTACATTTTTCACACAAAAAAAATGTAAGAAATGCACATAGCATTTAATGCAGTTTGTTACAAATCGTATAGGTGGCGCGCTTGTGCTACGACAAACTTGAACTACTCTACAGCTAGACAGGTATCTATGGACGCAAAGCAACCTTCGACCAGAGCTTACATTAACGGATACAAACTTGTTACGTCCAATGTAAGCTCTTGAAATAAGAAAAATGTTTTTGTTAACATCTTTGGTGAACTAAAGTTTCCTACAGACTAGTTCAAGTCAAGCCAAAAGAAGTAAATTCGGTGGTAACAACATTGTTCGCGTGACCTGTGTGGCATGTTCCCCTGCCTGTGACACCCAATCTGCTGCTTACTATGTTTTTGTGTTGTGTGTGAAACTTATACCTGTCAGTCAGAGTGGCATTGTCGACCACGAGTGTTGCTTTTTGTGTACAATGACCCCCGGGGAGATCGAGCCCCCACCTTTGCTTTCAATGGAATATTCCATTTCATTCGAGCCGCACGATTTTAACTCACACAGATTATGGTGCAACTTTCTATACTTCCTTTCCACGTTGAGTATACTTTTATTTACGTTTGAGCTGTGTGCTATAGCATTGTGTGCTCCGAGTTTGGTTTTACTTGGCCTCAATGTGATGTTTTGTTGATGATATCTGGCGGACGCCCCCCTTGAATAGGCGAAGAATGGTTCCACCCTTGGATACCCCACAGGCGTTCTGAGCAGTAACTGTAGGGACGAAACTGAACACCGGTCCTGAGTGGTGGCGGCATTCATTACGGGACACAGTTATACCCATCCTCTCTCTGCAAGCGTCAGTGCTCATGAATTCCCACAGCACCTGCTGGCAACCATAGTACCTTTTCTCCCTCGTCTCGTGTCAGGTGCAGAGAACAGCTCGCCATTCGGACGGGACCATGTGGAGACTTGTAGGTGACGGACAGGTGTCACATTGAGCAGGTAGGTGTGTACATGCAGGAGTACTGGGTGAAGGGTTGGCAGCGCACCAGTGATGCATGAAGTGTTGCAGAGATTTTCATACTCGGTTATAGAGCTCCAACATTTCATAAGACTCTTGAACACCAGAATATAGAAATAAATCGATATGCTTCAGTTCAAGACCGGTAGCTAACTTTTAATCAAATTCTATCATTAACTGTATGGTATTTAAGATTTAATTCAGAATGGTTATAAACCCTTGTTGTATCCTTATGGTTTATCATCTATCCATAAAGCTGGAAAAACGTACTTTCTGTCATTTTAAGAGACTGGCGCCATTTTGCAGTGTTTGAATACTTGTCTACTAATTGTTGTAAAACCCGCCACGTTGGGTGACCCCGCGGGAATTTAGGCTGACGTAAATACATGTCACGCCCGACAAGTTGCCACAAACAAACGAAAAGATGTCCAGATCAATTATGGAGCGAATTACATCAACAAATATCTACATTTAATCTTCTCAATTTGTCGTGCATGTTTGTTCTCTGATGATTTGTGGAAAGGGCGACTGTTTTGTGTTGTGCATAGTTGAGCAGTGATGCGGGAAACGATGCACGAGTCTACCTATCCTAATGTTTTCAAGGACTAGAGTTGGGACAATTTTTGGATAAGGGTATTAGACTGGCTTATGATCTCTCAGTTCCGAGTTCATCCGTTCTTTTCTAAGTCAGGGGGACCTCACTTAGTAACCAGATAACATTTTCTGTATCTGTAACTTAGACTTAGACTTAGGGGCTCCCGCGTCTCGTGACGCATGAGGCAGTATCTGTAAGGCTGGTTTAAAAGATTGCATTATATTCACGACTTTAGGATTTAAGTTGCCATTTATTTCGCAAAACAGTCAGGAGAAATGATATTCGGGCATTCTGCCCCTGGGCATATTTTCCACCGAGATTCTTTACTCGGCTTCAATTACCTGGAAACCAGGTGTTTCGCTGCCACCTGCTGGGAGACAGGTAAATCCCTGCCGCACGTCTGGACAGGTGTGTGGAACGCACCAGATCAAAAGATTACGATGTGTGCATTATGGATATCCAAAAGGAAAATCCTACTGTACACAGTGCAGGAACTATGTGTCATAGTGCGTACGTATGTGGGTATTGACTCTGGACACTTTGTGGTCATATATCGGGGTTCACAAGGGCTCTTCTCTCAGATATGTTCGATTAGATAAAAATGAAAATCTTCACTTTAGAAAAAATTGATAGCGATCAGACGGCTCAATAAGTGAGTGTGAAAAAATAGCCAGATCTTTATCAAAAACAGGTGGTGCAAGATAGTTTTAGCTTGGACTTTAGAGTTGTCCCTGGGTTCGATAGAAAGCGGACAGAATTGCAGTCTCAGACAGGTTCTTCCCGGCAATCTAGCATAGATAAGAGGTCAGTACTGTTGATGACTATACAAAGCACGTGTTAGCTACCCCACAACATATGAGTAAAAATATCCCCTTCGCCTGTCTTTACCGCATAGACGCGCATACAGAACCAGTCAACCTGTTAAGTATTGTACCGCGCCATTGTTGTTGGAAACTTGACCAGGCACCCTCGATACATGTCCGCTTGAAAAGAGCGGCCTAGTGGTACACGGCGCGGTAAACCCCGTGAAAGGCTTGTTTACGAGTTGATTCCGTGTCACAACAAATACACAATGTGGGGGGATCTTCTGAAGAGGATAGTCTTGCCTGGTTACTCGTGGTCGCTTCACCGGTTCGACCCTTTTGTTTAAATGTCTTCCGCAAACAAACCGGTGAAAATCTGTGTCCGAGCCTACATCTACCTCTAAATACGCAATGAAGTGTCTGATTGTTGGACAGAAAAAAAGGTTGTGCGAAAGAGACAACATGTCGGATGAAGAAGACGAGTCATTGGAAAGCGACGATGTAAGGTTTGCATAGCAGTTAGGGCGTTTGTGAGATTCTTTTCAAGCTACATTGGTCATGTATCAGGTTTGTCGTCTGCGGTGGTATGCGGTGTATTCAGAATATTGTGATGAACTTCTGATGTGGTGTGAAAGGGGGCGAAGGCACGCCGGGACAAGTATCATGGTCAGCGGAATCAACACTCACTGACAGAAATCCAGCAAAAAGATGCTGGTAATTTTGAACTTTGCAAACGATAGAGGCCAACCTTTGCAAAATATGCAAATTCAAGATGGCGGAGACAATCAACGTACACTACTATCAATACGTTCAACCCAATTCGCCCAAACGTTCAAACAGTGTTGCTAATTTAACGACAATAGCTGTCACAGTTGCCGTCGCGTTTGTCAGGGCTTTGCGTCATGCTGTTCTGGCCAATCTTTTAAATGTTATGCGTTCCGACAAATCGGCAAATTTCAAGTACAAACACGCTGATAAAGGGTAGTAATTCAAAAGGCAACTACAGTGTTAACTAAACAAACAACCTGTCCAAACAGGGCGCGCTTTATACGATAATCTCTGGGTGCAAAGTCTGTAGCGACGAAAGCACGGGGACCGCGAGTGCATGTCGTGTTGTCACTCATGGTCTGGAGTACCTCTTAAGAGGGATTGCACGAAACACTGGTTCTTTTAATTAAGGAGCTTTAAAACCTTAAACCTTAGGACAAATATGGGTAGAGAAGAGCTGTAATGTTTCTGACAGCTCTGTTCTTCAACCGACTGTCACGAAAAGCGCCGGCGGGGCGCCACCAGGGCTCTCGCGCGATATCTGCTCAGAGACGGCGAAAGTCCACGTCAACTGGTGACTATCACCATGACCGAATCTGTGCGCCATGACTACACCTATTCAGGTTTAAGTGTTTTTCATTAGCACTGTTTAAAAGTATCCTTCCCAAACAAAACAAGAAAGAAAAAAGCAAAGCAAACAGAGTCAAGCAAAATAACAAAATCTAACCCACAGCCGGGCTGTTGTTGTAATGTAAAGCCACGCGAAAGTATCTCCATACTCCACTTTCTATTTTCTAACCAAGCAAAATGATCTATCCTAGTAATACACACTATTGTAAGAACTACACATGCATATGTTACATCTTTACTAGCTATAGCAACCAAGTTATGAACCCTTTTCAAGACCTTTTCTTCACGTATAGATGTTTTTTTGGCCCAAGATTGCTTTAATATGTCCTTATCTTTACCAATAAAGGGAATACATCTGTTTTGATATGTCTAATAACAGCTTTCAAGTCTTTTTTTTTTAATTCGTGCCCGATCCCAGGAGTTGGAACTTGGGGGAGAGAAAACCGCCATGCAGCAGCCACTCGACCTCCAACAGATCCGGCATCAGCAGCGCCGCGTATCGGCTCTCTTGGCAACTGCACGTCACGAACATGCACCGCCACTGGTAAGAAAGCGATGCAGTAAACGGCGTGCTGTTAAAAGAATTGTGAGTTTTTCTGATCCTTTTTTTTTGTCGTTTATGGGGAGACCGCCGGTGTAAGGTACAGTGAGGTGTCGTTCATTATTCGCTTACTCAACTTTAGCCTTACCGTCAGCTTTACTTAGGATATAGGGATTTTCTACTGCACACCCAGGGATTGTCTCACCTGCTGACGTTCCAGACACCTTCCTCAGAGCTTCTGACTGGAGCACTGACGTTTGATTTTTTTATGATGCTTTATTAGATATCCATTAGATTAGATATCAAATCTAATCTATTTCTTCCTGGATTCATAAAACACAGAATACACAAATGTAATTACAAATTAAGGCACATAACATAACATAACATAACATAACATAACATAACATAACATAACATAACATAACATAACATAACATAACATAACATAACATAACATAACATAACATAACATAACATAACATAACATAACATAACATAACATAACATAACATAACACCTGCATCCATTAGACTACAACTAGCCTAAAACTACAAAGCAATAAACAATAACAACTACAAAGCAACACGACATTACCAGATCGCTTTTGGGAGGTCAGAGGTCGCATACTATGATACAATGTTCAGCTTCTTGCTTGTGTCAGTACCTTACCACCAGTGCTTTAAGGGTTGGTTTGTATCTATCTTGTGAGTTATCATGTCATTTATGATGTTCTTGAACAGTGTTGGTGTGGTAGACCTGGCGTGTGGTGTGAGGTTGTTGTGAGATTTTATACATCTGTAAACGAATGTTCTTTTCATTGCGGTTGTCTTCGGTTTAGGCAGTCTTAAGCCACCTCCTGTCGCAAGTTGGGTGCTATGGGCATGGCCATGAGAATTGTCTATTCGTTGTAACCTGTCGTAGAACACTTCTGGTTTTTCAGCTACCAAAATTTTATTGAACATCATTGGTGTGTTTTTGCATAGTCTTCCTTTCACTGATAGCCAGTTCAACCTTTCATGCATAGTGTTCGTGTTACAGTTGAACTTTTCATCAACGTATGTGGCGTTTTGTGGCTAGAACACAATCCCAAACGTGTACCGACGTATCCGGTCGGGTGGATCAAGGAAGCGGTCCGGATATGTAAGTCGACCCCAGTGATGAACCGGGACGAGGGGCGCTACAAACTCGATCACGTTTGGGATTGTGTTCTCGCCGCAAAAGCGCCACCTATAGCGGCGAAAAGCAGCACTCCAGTGAAAAGTTCCAATTTTCTTTGATTTCCAGTATGAAAGTGAAACAAGACCGACGAAGGCGCCCACGGGACTGGCATTGGCTATCGAAGACCAGTACCCGGATGTTGGGGACATAGCTGAAACGTCAGTACGAAATAGGTGAGAAACGTTAACGGTGTAATTACGTTGTATAACATACGTATGTGATGCTCAAATCTGAGCACATTTACACTATGATAGCTATTAACCTTTGTAAGGCTATGTTGATTTGATTATAGGGATGACATCCTCTGGGAACGTTACCCCCAAAACTGATGCGAGTGTGCGAATAAAAAAACGTCTGGCAAAAAAACTTGCCTTCATGATGAAATCTATGTGATTATGAAGGTTGAACAAAGGACTAAACACACATGGTATGGTATGGCGAATGGTAGATTCTTCATTTTCATATCTTCACATTTTCTTATTTGCCTTTGATGTTGATTTTGTAATTCTACGACATTAGCATCATTTTCCATTTCTTTTTGCAATTTACGGCATGTCTTTGCTTATATTTTGCAGCTGCTTTGCACGATTTACAGTTTAGTCGAAAACGTCTTTTTAAACGAACGAAAATCCATGCGTATACTAGTAATCAAATCATCATGGCATAAACCAAAATACTAAGACAACAGGAAGCTGAATAATGTTTCTTCTAATATTCTTACAGATACACACAGAAGAATTACAAGAAGTATCTCGACAAGCTAAACCTTGCGCAGCTGCGCCACTCTTACGACGAGAGCGTGGTCCAGTCTATCCGGCAGGGGAAGATGGAGGTGGCCACTCTACAGAACCAGCTCGTCTCTCGCTCGCTCGGCTCCATGGAAAAGGAGGTTCAGCTCGTCGCCAACCGCAGAGCCTCGATAGTGAAGAGTCAACTGAGTCTCAGTAGTAGTAGCATGTCTACGGGGCGCGCTCCTACCATTAGTGAAAGAACTATCTATATCCCCAGCGGACAAGACGAGGAAGATCCCACCGAGTACGACACTCCTCTAGTGCGGTATCAACACGGCGACATCGGCGCAGGGAAAAACCTGAACGTCAAACTGACGGACGAGGAGTTCGAGGAGTGGAAGAGGAAGCACGGAGGGCTGGACTCGTTTGACAACACCCCGGTGGCTACTCCCGGGGAGAGGAGAGGCTGGGGGCAGGGGGCACAGAGGGACTCTGACAGCCGGAGGGGGAGGGGGCTGGGGAGCAGGGGGGCCGGTTCTCGTGGTAGAGCACGGGGGCTAGGCGGCATAGACGAGACGGCAGACTTGGCTGAGAGGGAAGCAGAAAGGGAGCGTGCAGAACTGGACGAACTTCAGAAGAACATGCTTCTCTACAATCGGCACGGGATGACCGACTCCGCCATGCAGCAATACAAACTGAAGGAGTTACAGAGACAGCGTCAAGCGGCTAGGGCGAAACTCGGAAACGGTCAGGGACCACCGGGCTCCGGTTTCACGGGCAGCAACGCAGCGGACGCCGAAGACGAATGGGAGAGAGAGGAAAGAAGGCGAAGAGAAGAGGAAAGAGAGTATGCTAAGTACGCCACCAGGCATTCTAAGATGGAACTGCACCGTCAGGCCTACATCAAGGCCCTGTCGAACGCGCGCATGAGAAAATTGCCAAGGGAGCCGTGGGAGCTAGCAACGAAAACTACGCGTGCTTACACGTTTTCTTACATCAACCACAGACCTGCGTGCCGATGTGAAAAATGTCTTCAACGGAAACCGCGTGAGAAAAAGGAGAAGGGAATTCCAGGGATGAAACTTATCTTTGGCGAGATCAATATGTATGATTTTTATCCGAGAAAGAAAAGGAAGAACGCACCGAAGTCACCTCCTCCCTGGGTCCGCGAGAGGGCGCTGCAGCACAGTCTCTCCTTGATGGGCATTCGGCGGGAACTGGACAGAAAGAAACAAGAAGACGAGGTGGACAAGGAACTACAGCGCCTTGGGATGGGAATCAGGAACGAACAAGTGATCGGCAGGGCGTCAAAGGTACAAGAAGTTAAAGACAGCGCCCTTCATGGCGGACTCGTGACCAAATCTTTCATGGCTACACAACCGGCAAGAACAGTCCAGAAAACAGACATTACCCCCTCCCAAACTAGTCAGTCTAAACTGCTGAGTTACAACACTCCCGTTAGTCGGACGAACAGCATTTCGAATTCTTTAAACGTGAAGAGGCCGCCGTTACCGGAACTAACAAAAGGGCGGTACGTTTCCCTCTCTACAGAAGCTAATGATTTAGAAACATAGGAACCACACACTGGTCACGAGGACAGGACAACAAACTTTCCTAACGCCACCTATGCCTTTCCAGGTGTCTTAAAGGTATCCAATGCAATTTCAGGGAGGCAAAACAAAACAAAACATTCTGGATGGGGAAATCTGTCTAGTATTGACATTTACTGCCATTCCTTAGCACATTTTCTTAATCATTTCAAGCTACTTGAGGCATCTCTTTATCATGAAACCACCCATAAATATTTTTTTTAATTTATCTAATCTTCAGACACCTGGGTGACCTAGTTCAATTTTGACAAATTGATTTTCCCAGTACAACGATACAATAAAGTCAAAGATACAAACAAAGACCGATATAACAAATCAGAATCGTTATCCATAACTCGTGTCGATTTAAACAGTCCAGGTCGGCTTTCAATTTGGAGGTCAGAGGTCAATTTACATACTGATTAGGTAATTAAGTTCTTCAGAGCAGTCTTGAAAGATTTCAAGGTATAGATAGATAAATAGCCTAAACTACGATACAAAACAAGCAACCGTTTTCCGTCAGCGACACCATATTTTTAACCTCACAGATATCAGTATGCTATGGGATAGGATTGATTCAACTTACTACATTAAACGAATGACCAGAAAATTGACTTTGAAAATCTAGTTTAGTCGCCCTGAAATTGCATTTTATGCCTTTAAAGATTCTGAAGCATAAACATATAGATATGTTATATACAAACCGTTTCCAAGAGCACCGCTTTTTGGTATAATCTTCAAGCTGATACCATACCATCCTACTGTCATGACGTCCTAAGGCCACACTGACTTAATTTTATGGATGACATCCGCGCGCGCATTGATTTTCGTCTGTTCTCAAGAAAAAAAAAAAGATCACATCCACCGAGGCTCTGGCCTAGCCTCCTGTGCAGGACCCGCGGCCTGCACAGGAGGCTAGCTCTGGCCTGACTCTGGGCCTTGGTAGTCCATGGAAGTTAGCGACAATATGAAGCCGGGCACCCAGACTGCCGAAGCTCCACGACTCAAGAACTCAGTACATACGTACAGTGCCGATTAATAAATTCCATAAAAAGCCTGCATGTGCCGGCTTGTAGCATACGTCGCTATGTACTGCCGCAAATTCACAATACCAGCTTTATATTCCTGTGGTTTTATAGCATTTTCATTTTTGCCGGAATTTTTTTTATTCGCCCGCGCGCACGTGAGGTTTGGGGGTCTTCAGAGGATGTCATCCATAAAATTAAGACGGCGTGGCCTAACCGCTGAAAACACAATCTTCGAGCATATTCGTTCGGGGGCAGGGAACGATCAAGTTGTATATGGCCACCCGAGTTACCACTTGCCCCTAGGTGGGATACTGCCTGGCCAATTTCATATCATCTTGCCAACTTCATACAGTTACCTAAAGGTCTGCTTAGAGATTAAACTACAAGGACACCTTGATTTGTTGTCATACAATGATGTGCAATATGTATATAGATATGGAGTACTTTATCCGTCATTTTATAAAAGTGCATGATTCACATACATGGGGGTGTTGAGATCTAGTTGTAATCTCCAAGCAGATCATACGATGATAAGGTAGTCCAGAGTACAACACTAGACACTGCTCTGGCCAATGGATACTGCATTGTCACCGTATGATCTGCTTGGAGATTAGTCTAGTTGCATCGTGTGGTGTGCCGAACTCAGGGAAACATTTTGTACGTCCATTCGCATTCCCAGGAAAGATTAAAACTAACATATTGAATGTATTTGTGTTTGTGCTTCATTTACTGTGTGGAGTGTCAAATACTCGATCGCTCTTTCCACTCTAAGCTCTATCTGTCCAACATGTACATATGATTTACATGGCCTATTATATATATGGGGTTTATATGTTTGAGCATGTGTGTATCTAAATGTAATTTACTATTATTGACTTGACTCAGGTGAAAATGAGTACTAGTACCTAGGTTCAGTTAGGGACGTCCTCTTGGATAGGATGTGAAGCGGGGGCCCGATGTTTAAATTGGGGGGTGGGAGTGGGGGGGGGGGCACCTTAAGCACGTTAAAAATCCCACCATGTTTATCCAAAAGGCTGGGGACCTTCCCGGTGTGAGTGGTTCAAACCTTACAGTCTGGTCTCAGGTTTGACATCTTGAAGAGGCGATAGTCACCTGTTAGGTCAATCCTTCAACAAATGCAGTAAAGTTTCATAGATAAATATAGGCCAACAGATACTTCACTCCCCCGATCAGCTATCATGCAATTAGTAAGTAGCTAGTGTATGTTTATGTGTTTGTTCGACAGATCCCCATTTGTGAACATATCCATATAATACACCATTCCTCCTGGAGTTATCATCTTGTTGGAGTACATTAAAGAATGACATACAGTTTCGATGAAAGTTAGTCACTAGCCAAAAGCAGTTGATGCTACTTGAAACGTCTGACAGCACGTTTCCAAAATCTATCCAGATGCTCGAGTAACTGTTTTCTCTGTAACCCACAATTTCCACACAGAACAAAACGCCATGGAAGTCGTTCTCGTTCCCTTTGATGACCCGCTCCTGATCAGTACTACCCTGAGAACGAGTCCATCAAACAGACGCCATGCCCAATTAGTCCGGCCATTTCACATACCGGACCGCCCCCCTACATGAATGTTGCTTTGTTAACTATAGAGTCCAAATTAGCCCACATGACATGATTGAGGTATTAGAAAATTGCTGGGTCAGTCCCCTGCCTTGTTACTATAATACAACAATACCCGCTATTCAATGGACACCAACAGTCGCAGAGTGCGAGGTGTTATAATTTATGCTTAGCCATGCCAATAACTGCTCTCGTTTTTCGGACAAATATTAAGTCTACAATTAAGAAAATGTGGCTTCGGTCACTCTTTATTTGGCAAGAAAGTACTATAAACGCATTATATAGGCCGGTCTAATATTTTCGTTTCATGCATATGCAGCTTTCCTTATATCTTCGTCGCGTATGTAGTGAGTTGTTTTAACATGTAGCAAACTATCCGCATTCCGGGGAACATCCGTTCTTCCTGCCATCTGCGTCCTGTGATGTTCAAACAGATGACTTGGATAAGTTTAATGACTTTCTCTAAAAGCAGCTTCAAAGCGAATTAACGAATTAAAGGCATTTAATATGATAAATAGGGTGGCAAAACAGAAAAAATATTCTGGATGGGGAAATCTGATATGAACAGTTACTGCCATTTCTTAGCACATTTTTGTTATCACTTCATACTTGAAGCGTTTGAAATGGCCCAGAAACAAGCTACATGAGTCGTCTCTTCATTTTTGGCCTTGGCAAGTCGTCTATTCGTTATTTTGCCTCGCAAATATTAGTATGCAATGGGATGGGGTTGTTTCAATTTACTGAATTAAAAGAATGACCAGAAATTTCACTTTGAAAATCCTGAAAATTCACTTTGAAAATTTTTCCACCCTGAATTAAATTACATTGCATGCCTTTAAGGTAGTGGGACCCCTTGACAAAATTATATTGTCTGGTTGCTGATATTAGGAGGTTCTAAGCCTCCGTGGAATGTTTTGTCGTGCCATGATGCAAATTAAAACACGGTCGGTAATCGCTAAAATATGTGCTGTTGGACACATTATAGGAGCGGAACAAAGGCAACAGCTATGTACATACATACTCTGTAGTGGTGACAATAGACAGACACCGTCAACAGATCTAGAACGTGTCTGGTGTCACGCCACGTCTCGTTTTGGGATGAAATATTACAGAGAAAGGAATGTCAGGTACATCTAGGGCAATACTAGTAACGTTAGTGCGCCAGCCGTATGAAAAGAGGGAGGGGGGTGAGTTAAGTCCAAAACCATGGTCCTCTCTTGTTTCATTGACTGGGTGAAGAAAGAGATGACCATGACACACAAAATCTAATACGAGGTCTCATCAAGACCTACCCACCTACCAAATATCAAGACAATCCACCCAAGCCTTCTCGAGTTATCATGATTATGATTTACACACACACGCGGATGCACGCACGCACACACAGAAAGAGAGAGAGAGCGAGAGACACACACACACACACACACACACACACACACACACACACACACACACACACACACACACACACACACATACACACACACACGACACACACACACAGGGACAAACNTAGTGATACATGCAGGACATAACGTTACATAGTGATACTTACAGCGTGCTTCGCTCTGACAAGACTCCGTGCATCGGTACTCCTGGCCGCTGGTCAGTCCGTG